GTGCATCATGAGTAGCTCACCCTTTCACTCTATGCTACCATGCATGAATGATGGTAGTCACCACTTTAATGACAAAAACTCACAGATTTAATGTGTTTCAGGGTTTCTATGATGCGGCTTTCGCTGTTAGTCTCGTCACAGTGTCCCTCTACTTTGCTAAGTTCGCTTGGGGGGTTGGTGTCTCTGCAGTCCTTTCGTAATGGCAACCAAAAAATGAAAAGGCATAAGAGAAGAATCCCCAGTACGTTCAGCCGAGAAAATTTCATCTTTAATGGGTCTCCTTGGCTTATAGATCAATCTGAAAGGTTTATTCACGAGTACAGTACCGGTAATTGTACCGCATATGCCTGGTTAATGTGGTTATGCCAGAGAAATAATTTAATTCATCGGAATGATCGGACCGGTTGATAATGATTTCATTAAGCAAGTGTCCCACCATAAATATACAAACACAATTGGATATACAAACCTAATTCTAATCGCGTAAACATTTTTTTCTGGACTTTTCTTGGCAAGTAATGCAAATTTGGCATGCCATTGGGTTTATATGGAGAACCCGGTGATCAGGGTTAAAGTTTCATTCTTATCCCACATTCCTATAAAAAGTTATTCCAGTTTTTCTAGGTCCAAACAATATTAAATAAAATTCTAGTTCGCTATGAATGATCTCTAATAATATAATAACTAAAAGCTGGAGACTAAATGACGGATGATGATAAGACTTGTCTTATTATGATAGGTAGATCAGAATTGTTCATACAAACAAATGATCGTCCAGCAGGTAGGGAATCCTGTAACCTTGTAGCCTCGTCGTCAAGGGATCCAATAAAAACAGCAAAAACATTCACATGAGGATCAGAGAGGATCAACCTCCCATACTCAACTGGACTTATACGATAGCGAGAAAAGTTAGCATCACTTAAAATAATGACGTAGGACTCTTGAGAAGGTACAGAGTCTGATCTGATGGTGGATATGGCAGTTGCTGTAGCCTTTAGAGTATTGTCACCAGACCAACAGAACTGAGAATGAGCATGCATTGACTATACATGCAGATAGAAAGATGAAAATAATAATCATTTGTGAATCATCATCACCTTCAAGATGTCCATTTTTTCTTTTTCATTCACAGGTGGACTCTCAGAGGAAAGGAAAGGTATCTCAGCAGAATCTCCAGAATGACCAACAATATCCAACTGTGATAATAATAATAATAATAATAATAATACAAAAATGCTTAACCTTGAACTTCATGCTGTACGACTCAAATGCTTCAATGACCATCAGAACAGCCTCCAGTGTCCTATCCAGTCGGCCGTCATACCCATTAAATCGATACATGCTCCCACTAACATCAACTACCAGTCGAATGGACTTACGGACATTGGACGAATGGCCAAACTATGACATAATTGTTACAAATATCACAGTCATTAATAAAAAAACCTCAGGTTCTTTCTCTCCCCTTTTTCTATAGACTGCTTTCTCACCAGTCAGACCGTCTACTAGCTATAATGTGTGGATGGATAAGAGGTGCTACATTATATACATCGTACAATCATTGCTTGTGAAACATGTACATGTACATGATTATGCACTTAAGAGGTACATAATCATGTACATGTATGTACATGATTATGCACTTAAGAGGTACATAATCATGTACATGTATGTACATGTGTTTCACAAGAAATGATTGTACGATGTACATAATGTACATACCAGTATTCTTAATGGCATACTTTTCTATCATCAAGGTCTCCGTCTGTCTGGTGTCTCAGCCATTGTCTCTCATTACTCTTTGACTACAAAAAAAACAGAATGCACTAAATTTTTAGGTTGGTATTTACACATTTGCAAACAAAGGCTCTTAATCTGTTGGAGTTTTCATTTACATACTTGAGTGCTTTCCAGTATAGCCTTTAACATTTCGACTTGTTTGTGTATCCGAGCCCTCAACTGTGTGAATGCATTATGGTCATGTTCACTCATTGCTATCTCTTGTAATCTACAACAAAGAAAACATTCACTTTATACGGCTACAGAAATTTGAATTAACCAGGGCTCATTAATTATTCATAACAATTGGGGGTGTGGTCAATTAATTAAATGACTGCAAAGTCATTATGACAACTCACAAAAG